AAACAATGGTTACTAAGAATTTCCCTAATATTAATGGCAGACCCCAAACCAGAGATCCAAGCATCTCAAAGAACCCCAAAGAGGATCAATGCCAAGAAACCTATACTTGCCTTATCATTTTCAAACTACAGAAAATCAAAAATAAAGACAAAAATCCTTAAGTGGGGTGACCAATAGAAGAACACAGCTAAGGATTACATGTGACTTTTCCTTAGAAACCACATAAGCAAGAAGACAGTGAAGTGAAATATTTAAAATACTGAGAGAAAAAAACCACTGACTTAGAATTTTGTTCCCTCCAAAAGTGAAGAATACTTTTTCCAAAAGGCAAAGACTGAAATAATGTGCTACCAATAGTCATGTCTACAAGAAATATTAGAAGAAATTCTCTGGAGAAAAGGAAAATACCATAGATCAAAACCTTGGATCTACATAAAGAAAGGAGAAGCATCGGAGAAAAAGTAAGGACAGAAAAACAAAAACTTTTATTTTTCTTACTGATAATTCATCTAAGAGATTAATGGTTTGTTCAAATAATAATGGCAACAAGCAGCACCTGTGGCTCAAAGGACATATAGTGTCAAATGTATTGTATCTTTATAAAAGCATCTTTAGCACCTGGAATTTTAGTCTGCAGTATATGTGAAAAGGACAAGCTGGGTGGCGCCTGTAGCTCAAAGGAGTAGGGAGCTGGCCCCGTGTGCCGGAGGGGTGACTTCAAACCCAGCCCTAGCCAAAACTGCAAAAAAATTAATAATAATAATAATAATAATAATGGCAACAATACAGTCATATGTTATATTAATATCTAAACTTATCTGTATATAATTATGTAGAAAAGAAATAAATGACAGTAATGACACAAGGACAGAAAGGGAGGAATAAGGGTTTTGTATTACTTTAAGAGACTCATACTGCCTGTGAAGTGGTATAGTGTTATTTGAATGTGGAGTTGGATTATTTGCAAATGTATAATAAAAATTCTAGGGCAACCGCTAAAAAAGTAAAAAATAAAGTACAATGAATATGATAAGAAAGGAGAGAAAATGGAAATCCTATAAAATGCTCAATTAAAAATTTAAAAGGCAGAAAAAGAATGGAAGACAAAAGTAAGACTGAAGACAATGGCAAAAATTAAAAAATAGTAATAAATATGGTCAACATTAAGACATACTGATGGAAAATAGCACGTGGAAAAATGTCCCACATCATGATGTCATCGGAAAAGTGCAAATACCACTGAGATACCAGTACACACCAAAATGTTAGAATGGCCATAATCCAGAAAACTGACAATGTCAAATGCTGTCAAAGGCGTGGAACAACAGGAACTCTCATTCACTGTTGGTGGCAATGCAAAATTGTAAAGCCATTATGGTAGACGGTTTAGAGAGTTATTACAAAACTAACCATATTCTTACCATATGATACTGTAACTGTGCTTTTCAGTAGTTACCTAAACGTACTGAAGACTTATGTCTACACTAAAACCTACACATGGATATTTATAGCAGCTTTATTCATAATTTCCTAAACCTGGAAGCAACCAAGATGTCCTTCAGCAGATGAATGAATAAAAGAACAATGGTACTTAAAAATAATGGGATATAAATTCCCTGTTTAAAAAAAAAAAAAAAGAGCTGTGAGGCATGGTAGAAAGTGAAATACGTTGTACTAAGAGAAAAAATACATTGTACTAGGAGAAAAAATCCAGTCTGAAAAGGCTACACACTGTATGATTCCAACTATATGACAGTCTGGAAAAGGCAAAACTATGGAGACAATAAAAAGATTAGGGATTGTTAGGGTTTAAGAGGTAGAAGAACAATGAATGGACAGAACACAAAAGACTTTTAGGGCAGTGAAAAGACTCTGTATGACACTATAATGGTAGATACATACCATCATTATACATTTGTCCCACAGAACGCACAACACGAGGGTCCACCATTGGACCCTAATGCAATCTCTGGACTTTGGGTGTTAATGATGGCAGTGTAGCTTCATCAACTGCAATAAATGACCTACTTTGGTGGAAGATGTTGATAATGTGTGAAGCTATAGATGTATCGAGGTGGAAGGCATATGGGAAATATCTGGACTGTCCTCTCAATTTTACTGTGAACTTAAAACTGCTCTTTAAAATGACTTTTTAAAAAGTCTATTATAAAAAAATGATTTTACAAAAGTACAGGATAATTACTTTACTAGTTTTAGAAAATTTTCTTTTCTTATGAAATGATTGAGATTTCATTATCATATTAACCAAAATTCTTGGCCAGGAGCTAAATTATATCTTATGAGCCCTTCTAATGGAAATGCCATATAAAAATGCTTATAAGGTATATATTTTCCAATGATTATTGAATTCTAAACAATTTAAGGGGAAAAGCAACTGAGTGTCCCAAAGCAATTTTCACAGTAAAATGAGTAATCTGTTTTATCACAAGCACATACCACTGCCCAATAATCCCTCTCCCCCAAATCCACTATATCCCCCATTTGACTAAGTAGACATTCCAACTTACATAGCTCTCCTCAAGTCCCCCATCCACCTTCATTTTAGTCTGAGTACACGAGCTTATTTCCCAAGTCACAAAGAGAATACAGGCCATCAGGGAAGAATCAGACACTGAGCAAGCTTACTCTAACTCACTCCTTCACACATATCAACACACACAAATCCATGTACACATCCACAGACATGAATACTGCTGGCATCAGTACCTCCGCTCTGATCTCAGTGTTGTAAGGGTCCTGCGTTCTGTACACAGGAGACTAGACCCATAGGCAATCTCCCTGCCTTTTTCTGTTTTGCTCTCCTCCTTTCTCCTTTGCCATTGCCTCCATCCTCCAATACTAATACCACCTTAGTATTATAATAGAGGTCATTATTTTCAGACTTTCTTCTCTTAAATACAACCCCACACTGCTTCCAGAGTAAGTAATCTCTCACAATTCAAATTTAATAGAGAAATTCCTCTGAAGTATATTACATCATTCAATGTCTCCCTGTTTCCTTTAAGATCATACTAACCCCATAGTTTGGTATAACCTACATAGGCTTTTTCTCCATTCTTTTTACCCATCTTTATCCCACATACAAAAACAGTTCTCCAACTATTTTGAATGATACATAACTCCCTGAAATTAATGATGCATAACATCTTATTGTCCTTGCCCATGTTCTTTTCTCCGAAAATGCTTTAAATACTTCTTTACCTGAATATCTCATACTCTACCTTTAAATCAGTAGAGAGATATGACTGTCATTAATTCAACTCATTAATCTTATAATTCCTCTCTTCCTCTGGGTAGAAGTAGTATTACAAATCATAGTCCCCCATTCGAAATTAAGCAGTTTGCCTTGACCAATGAAGCTCTAAATGCCAGTGCAATATGGACCACTCTCCCTTCCCACTGCTGAAGTGATCATGGAAGTGCATCCAGTAAGAGCCTTTGATGTCCTTTGATATCTTCAGTCCACAAGCTTTCTACTAACTCATTTTGGGCATGTAGTTTCTGTGACAAATGTTAACCAACATCAAGATTTGGGAATGTTTATTCTCAGCATAGCCTAATCTATTCTGACTTACACAGAGGGTTACTTATTCAGGAAGCCTTTCATGAGATCAACACAGTCTGATTAATTGCTGATTCCCCAGTTATGATAGCATTCTATTCATGCTTTTATTATAACATAACACTGTAACAAAATGGCTGCTGTAATTATTTATTTCCCTTCTTACATTGTACTCGTGAAGGCAGCAACTGTGCACTTTAACCCTGGATTTTCACCCACGAGCATCATGCCCAGCTTATAGTAAGTGCTTAGAAATGTTTACTGAATTAACCATTCATTCATATAGTCACTCATCAAGGGCTAGAGGCTACTCCAGTTTCTAGAGAGAGTAAAAAAAACAAAACAAACAAAAATCCCTGCCCTCATATTCCTTATATACTTAGGAAGGATAATGACAATCAACCAGACAAATAATCAGAAAATATATAGTTTATTAGATAGTGATAAATGTTATATAGCATAGAAAGAACTTAAAGCATGGAATACTGGCTAGATAACACCCTATTTAAAAGATGACCTTTTAATAAACATCTAAATCAATGTAAGGAAATTGGCCAAACAAATACTGAGGAAAAGAGTAATTCAGCAGAAAGAACAGCAAAAATCCTGAGATGGGAAAATGCCTGGCATGTTCAAAGAATCAAAAATCCTGAGATGGGAAAATGCCTGGCATGTTCAAAGAATGAGGGAACCAGTATGCCTAGAGCAAATAAAGAAGGTGTGAAGAGTTAAAGATGAAATTAGAGAAATAGCAAAGGCCCAAATATGTAGAGACATTTAGACCAGTTTAGGAGCGTTATTCAGTTTTTATCTTGTGTAGAATGTAAAACCATTGAAGGGCTCTGAGTAGAATGAAGAGTGGGAAAGGACATATGAAGATGAAGTCAGAGATACAGTGAGGGTCCATCTTCTCTCATTTTATGCCATTTCTCTCCATGATACCTGAGAAATGTGGATATTCAATTAACCAAGAATTATTCAAAATAATGCTGACTAACTCATATTTTAAGATGATGCTAATCTGTTCATGAACTACTACGAAGAAATAGTGATTAAAACCAATAGATAATTACGGAAATATTGCGATGTGCCAAAGTATAATAATATACTCAGCATCAAGAGAGACTAAGCATTTTATATAACAAATCTTAGTAGACAATTAATGCCACTAATCAATTTAACATATAAATCAGATACATATTTATAGCTCTGTAAGTCATGCTCCATTTACTTGCATTTGCCCAAATACCACAAAACAGATACAAGTAAAAACATATCCTCAATGTAAGAACAAACTATGTTTGGAACCCAGGTTCATTATCAGAAGCAAACAACCCAAAACAAGACAAACAAAGAGAAAGAAAACAAACCACAAATCAAAACTCCTTTTGCCAAATGTTAAATCAAATAAACACACCTTGCGTTGTGTCCTTGATGCTGCCAAGTCTGAACTCTGGAGAGCTGCCAAGGGGCAGGATGTTTCCAAAGGCAGAGTCTTTACTGAGGAAACTGTGCTCGTGTTCCTGACAAATTCAGTTCCAGATACCAAAAATAAAATTCTTTGTTGTTTTTTCTTACTAGAATTCAAAATAGAACACAAGGAATAGTAAATGGATGATCTCAAGTTCCGCAAATGTCCACAAAATAAAATAACAATGAGAGCATTTCCAAAAGCTGTCAATTCTATTATCCATTCAACTCAAATATATTTGGGCACTATTGAATATTATGCCCCTCTTTAACAAGGCACATTTTCATGATATTGACTTTGAGAAGTCTTATCACAGAAAAGCCTCGTTAAGTTTACTTGACCATTGGGTGTCCCAAACGCTTACCTGAAAAGTAACAGGCAATGGTTCCAACTACTCTGAAGTGTGAGTATAAAGAGAATGATTTGAAATTGTTTTCTGTTATTTAGTTTGTATAGAGTTGACTTATAAAAACTACTATAGTTATTTAGTCATAAATTTTAAGCATATTTTACCTTCTAAATGTCCATTAAAAAAGCAATGAGGAACAATAATCAAGTATTTCATGATTTATTCATTTTTGTACAATGAAGATTTACTGAATATCTACGATACACCAGGGACCGATTTTATCTGGAGTTTTAAACTGCAATTGCTTTCACAGAGATAAGATTATCACATTGAAATGGTTCCAAGCCATTGTCCAGTCCTAATATTAATCCCCAAATTAACTCCAAGTATTTGAGAATACAAACTTTACTAATTCTGATAAGATCATCAAAAATAACTATTTTTAGAACATCTTAAGTAGTGATAATAATCTACATTAATACTCATAATATGAAAGAACAATCTTTTTTAGCAAATGGTGTTGCAAAAGAATAAAGTTGGACCATTACCTCACACCATAAAAAAAAATTAACTCAAAATGTATCACAATTAAATGGAGACTAAAACTATTATATAAACCAGAAGAAAACATGAGAGCAAAAGTTTGTGACTTTGAGTTAAATGATAGTTTCTTAGATACAATGCAAAAAGCATAAGCAATGAAATAAAAAAGAGATAACTGGACTCCATCAAAATAAAAATGCTTGTGCTTTAAAGAACATGATCAAAAAAAGTGAGAAGACAATCCACAGATTGTCCAGAGAAAATATTTGCAAATCATATATATGACAATTGTTTTATACTCAGAACATGTGAAGAATTCTCATAGCTCAACAACAAAAAAGTTCAATAATCAAAATGGGCACCGTATTTGAACAGAAATTTTTCCAAAGAAAATATACAAATTGCCAATAAGCAAGTGAAAAGTGCTCAACATCATCAGTCACTGGGGAAAATCTAATCAAAACTATAATGAGATGCCACTCATCATTTCTACCAGAATTGCCATATCAGAGGAGAGACAATGCCAAACTAGATAAGAAAATGTGGAGAAACCATAGCCTTTCGCATACTGTTGATAGGAAAGCAAAATGGTGCAGTCACACTTTGGAAAACTGCTTGGCACTTCTTCAAATATCCAAACATTGTTAGATATATATCCAAGACAGGGATGGGGAACCTTTTCATTTGGAAGGCTACATTAAGTTAGTTACAATCATTTAAGCCCACATTCAAGAAACTTCAATTACATATACTTAAAAATGTATATTATCATGTAAAAATCTAACTAATTTGTAAATAATAATTTCAAAAAATACAAACAACTTTATTAATTTTAAAGTTAACCTTTTGATGACTTTTTGTGTCTACTTTTTGTCGGAAAGCATTTGAAATTTGGCTGCAGCATGGAGGTCTACAGTTTCAATTGATTCGCTAGATGGGTATCAGTCATTTGTGACCTTACAGATGTCCTGATTAGGGTTAAGTAGGAGAATGTAGATTCATAGCAATTAAGTGGTTGAAAAGCAAGATAAAATTGGGGGTGGGGGGGATGTTGCTGACAGTGTGTGTATTCTACTATAGTTTTCCATATTTCAATTGGATCTTTCTTAGCATAAACAATGGCTTTAAAATATCATCTACCAAGAGCTTAATTAATTCCATCTGTAATTTTTTTAGGTGGCTTGGTGGTATCAACCAGGTAAGGCTGAAATGCTCATTTGAGTGTGATATTATGATTCTCAAAGTCAGGGAAACTTCAAGGGTACATGTGAAATTTACTAAATGTAGAATATAAATGTCTTAACACAATGACTAAGAAAATGCTATGAAGGCTAAGTTAACCAGCTTGATGAAAATATTTCAAATTGCATATAAAACCAGCACATTGTACCCCAGAATTGCATTAATGTACACAGCTATGACTTAATAAAAAAAAAAAAGTCAGGGAAACTTTCATTGTATTCTCCAAATAATAGGTCCGTAACAGCTTCACATTCTTCAAATGGTTCACATACAGGGTGGATATAAAGTTGTGTGCAAATTTCTCTGTTAAACTATTTTAAATTGCACACAAACTTTGTGTTCACCCTGTGTATCATCCTGTTCATCAATGACCTTTTCTAAATGGGGAAAATGTTCATCTGAAATTTTTTTTTGAAGAAGTGTTTTGAAAAAAGATAGCTTTTTATGAAATGCTTGGAATTTTTGCACATAACACATACAGACTTAGTTTTTACTTTGCAAAGAAATATACATGTCACTTGATTTGATGTGGTATCATACTGAAATGCTGCATTTCTATAGATATCTTTTAATAATTCACATTGCTGATTCTATTCTTCATAAAATGTAAGTATATATTCTCACAGATATAAAATTTTGGCTACCATCTGTCCCTGCGATGCCCAACACACTTTAGAATGATGTAACAAATCTTAACTGCCTCATTGCTCAACTTTTACATGTTACAAAACTAATGATGCTAACTTGCATTTGCACAAATAGTTACAAATACTTTTAACTTGTTTCAAAGTTAAATAAAACTAATGATGCTATCTCGTATTTGCACAAATGTATCAATAGTTACCAATATTTTAAACTTGTTTCAGAGTGTCACTTAAAACAGCAGCTGTGCCACAGAGATTTTGCTGATACAAAATACAATGAAAAGAAATGAGAGCATGTATCTGTTAATATGTTTTTTTATTCTGCAATAAACCCTTCATGTTTTCCTGTCATGGAAGGGCACCATCTGTACATATACTCACTAAATTTACCAAATGCAGTCACAACAACTTCACGACATTTATCTTGAAAGTTATTGAAGGTATCTATTCCCCATATTCTGTTCCCAAGGGTGCTCAAAGTGAGTAACTCTTGGTAGCAAAGAAAACCTTCTGTTATGACTAGGGTGACCAGACATCCTGCTTTTGGAGGGACAGTCCTGCTTTTTAACAATTTGTCCTGCCTCCTGCGGCATTTTAAAAAAGCCTCAATTTTTGGAAAGAATGCACCAACGGGCAGGAGAACAGGAAGGGAATATATGGTTTTCGACTGCCATGTGGCTATTTTGCCAGAATATGAGTTTTATATTATTTTTGTTAATTTTATAATGTTAAGCTGTAATAATAACAAATAATTGTTGAGAAGTAATTATTGAGAACTGCTTATCAAACTTTGCATTGTTTTCAGGCCCTGCCCTGCCCCATCCCCTGCCCCCTTCCCACCCCACCCCACCCCCCACCATTTTGTCCCGCTTTACAAATGTTAAAATCTGGTCACCCTAGTTATGACCCAGATGAAGTATAAAATCTTCACTGAATCAGTAGTATCATTTGGTTCCTCTAAAGCAATTGAATGATATGTATTTTCCTTTTGAAATGTTTCATGAAGTCATTCTATTAAGTTGAAGGCCAATTCACTCTGTTCATCAGTTATGATCTCTCTGAAAGAGGCAGTTGTTTATACTTAGAAAAAGTATCATAGTTTAGGGCGGCCCTGTGGCTCAAAGGAGTAGGGCACCGGCCTGGCCAAAAACTGCAAAAAAATTTTTTAAAGTATCATAGTTTAAGCATCCTACAACTTCAAATATGCATTCTTTCACAATTTCTATACCACTGAATGGCTTCCCTTTTTCCCCCAAGTATATAAGCTGCTTCAGGGGAATTATTTCCAGTTCTTATTGATGCTTAAAAGAATTGCTTTTGCTTTTGCTTTTTTCTTTTAATTTCTCCAATACAACCTTTTGTGCCTCTCCCTCTAATTTAAAATATTTATGGTCTTTATAATGTTAATGAACATGAATCTCTTTAATGTTGATACTGCAGTATCACAAAGCCAGCAAATCATTTTGCTAGTAGACAGGATAATATTGAAATTCCCAATCCTTATTAAGAAATCTGTTTTCTTCCTTCAGTGTTCCCTTGGTCTTCTTTGACATGAAGGACTGTTAAGCAGACAGAATTAAAAATAGTGTTGAGCTGTGCAACTATTCACAAATTTCATCCCCCCAAAAAACACAATGTACTGCTTTCAAAAGCTGATAACAGATTGGCATACTCAATACTCACAAACTCTTACCAACCAGCCTAATGTAATAGTGGTCCCAGTTAGATCTGGACAGTCAGAAATGTATCATGAGCATGGCTGCTGGCAATTTAGCCCTTCCGGCTTCCTATTGTTCTCATTGTGCTGGTCAATATGGGAGGATTATTTCATTGAAACTTATTTTATTCTTTGGTATTTTAAAAATGAAATTAAAATATAAAATTCAAATAAAAATATATTAATAAAAATTAAAGAATTTCTTCTGTAAAATTTGAATTTAGTCAGAAAGCTGCACTTAAGGACCTAGAAGGCCACATGCAGCCTTAAGCCTATATGTTCCCCACCATTGACCCAAGAAAAATAAAAAGTTATCTCTGCACAAAAAGTTATAACAGATGTTCATAGCAGTATTATTCTCATAGCCAAAAAGTAGAAACAACTCATGATGAACAGGTAAGCAAGATGTGGTATATCCATATAAAGCATATGCAAAATAATATGAATGAAGTGAGATCATTTTATAAAGACAATGTGTCAAATATAAACATCTATGTAAATGTGAAACAATACTATCTGAAAAACTATTTTCATTCTATAGCAAATCAAGTTCAAAATGAGATATGATTTGAGTCAGATTCTATACAAATTCAAAACAAATATATAAATGT